GACATCTGTAGGGAGGCTCACTGAGGACACACGCCGGCTGGCTGCCCATTCACCTGTTCTTTGGACTTGTAAGAGTTCTATTTGTAGTCTTTCGTACCTCTCTCCTCCCGGGCATAGATAAGGCCTATGGTTCCTGAACCAGCTCCCACCTACCCCTTGTGTGGTCTTTGGCCAATCATCCAAACTCATCTCCTAACACCCTTAATGAGGGATGATCTGGCACACCTGAGGGGAACTGCCAGCCTCGAGAACGAGTTCTGGGCCCACCTTTGAGGCATTCACAAGCTGTTACCCTGAAGGAGGTTGGAGGTCCTCACTTCTCAGACCCCTCACCTTGTGGTTGGGCAAGGTCTTTCTTCAGCTGTGAGTCACAGTTACAACCACAGGGCCCCATGCAGGCCCAGGAGGAAGGCGTAGTTGTCTCCATTACCAGGGTTTACAGTTCTAAGTCCCTTGCAGTGGGAAGCCTCTCCAATGGGAAAGAGATTTGCCTCAGCCAGCACAAATCTCTTCAGGGAGACATGCTGTTTAGATACCCGGGCCTTACCTACTGCCTACATGCTGTGCTGGTCATTCACCTCCTTTAGCAGAAACTCGGGTTTGGGAATCAACTCATAGGCTTCAGCCATGCTCTGTAGGTCCCATGCAGCTCCCAGCAACCCCAAGAAGCATGTGTGGAGCAGGCCGCAGGACAACCAGCAGCCCTGACAACAGTGAGGCAGACACCCACCCCTTTATCACAGTGACAACCAACTCCAAATGCGGCCTTGCTGGGGGCTTCCACTAACATGCCCACAAGAGAAGTCATGGTTCGCCCATGTCCTGATCCCTGATGTACTGACTGAGCTGGTAGAGGGTGTCATGGGTTGGACTGTGTCAATTCAATGGGATACAACTGTGTGATGTGATTCAAATGTCGTCTTTGCAGATGTTGCTGATTCAAGACAAGGTCATTAGTTTGGGTTCTAATCTAATGATTAATGTCCTAACAAAGAGGGTAATTAGACTTAAGTGTGCACAGTGTAGGGAGCCACCTGTTGTTAGGACCGGGGTTGTACAGGGTCAGCGCGAGGGTCAGGACGGAGTCCCAAGGCCTGAGCAGTGAGCAGCTAGCGAGTCCTTGCCACCTCCCCTCACAGCTCTGACACACATCCACGTGGGACTTCTGGCCTCCAAACACAGAGAACCACTCTGTGGTACTCCAGCTCAGCATCCCATGACACTTGCACAGATGGCATCCTGAAAAAGTTGGAGCAGGGGGCTCCCACATGGCAGGTTTGTGGATGAGCACATCCCAGCCCTCAACTCCACAGTGCGATGCTGAGCGCTCTGGGGGACACAGTACTGTCACTGCCCCCTGCTCTCAGTGTCTCATCCTCCCAGGACCACAGCCTCCCCTATGGTCTCTCAGGGTTTCTGGAGTTCAGAACCGGACTGATCACACGAGGGAGGTGTGGTCTGCAAACAGCCTCACCAACCCATCTTCTCCCTGGTCTTCCCTGAGAAAAAGCTCAGAATGAGGGAGCTGGCTCAATCTTCCCACTTAGTACCAAGAGATCCCAGTTGGAGACATTCTTTAGCCTTTGTAGAGAGAGTCCGTGAACCACACTAGGCCTTGACACCTGTGTGTGGATGAAGCCTTTTCCTCCAGTGTTTTGAATGTTGGGAGAGAGGGCTGACATCTCACAGGGGAGGGCCCAAGAGGAAGGCAGCTCAGTGACAGACTTTGTGCTACCATCTCTCACCCAGGCCTGGCCCGCCCAGGTGTTTCATATACAGGGAGCCTTTCTCCTGGCATCACATCTCAGCCGAGGGTCTGGGTCCTCTGCAATGCCGTGGTTTCCAGGTGAGCGGAGCAGGAAGCCGGAAGGCTCCACTCACTCCTCTCCCGGACAAGCTGGGGGCAGGGTCTCCAAAATCCTCTCATCCGACGGTAACGGTGGTTTCTGACTGTTTCTCCGAGGCCTCATGAGCTCAGACAGGGGTGTTCCTACACTAAGTAGGTGAGCACTGAGCACACCATACAGATGTGCTTGAAGAATCACAGGAAGGCAAGACTCCTGCAGGCAAGCGGGCTGGTGGGTGGGTGAAGTGCAGCTGGTCATGGGTTGCTTGGTTCAAAAGTGAGGTGTGGGGGCATACAGTGCTGAAGCCTTGAAAACTGTACAGCACACGCGCGCGCAGGTGCACACGCGCGCGCAGGTACACACACACACACACACACACACACACACACACACACACACAATCATACAGCACTGTGTTTGTTCCGGTGCTGTGGGGGAGCACACAGATCTCTTAAGACACAGACGTGGAGATCACTGACAGTTCCTCAGAGCCCTGAGGCTGAGGATCCCTGTGCTCTGATTTTTTTCTCTAGTTGACTACCTAGCCCTGTCCTGAGAGGAAGGTCCAGGAACCTGTGGTCAGGGTGCTTTCTAGGAAGCAGGGGGCTAGCTTCTGGTGCTGTTGCATAACGTGAAACTAAGGGCATGTTGCTGCCAGCCCAGGCTTCTGACGCCTTGGATGCCGCAGGGCGTCATGGGCTGGGGGAGGATGGTTGAGTGTGTGGGTGGGTGACAGGGGAGACCCAGGTAGCTTCTACTATTCCTGGAGTCGTCCAAGGTGGGGAAAGAGCCTAGCTTGCTGAACTTTCAGCTTAGAGGTGAGCCACATCTCAGGACAGGGACTACCTGATTGCAGACACTGTGCTGATTTGTTCACAGCCTGGGGAGACTATTCTGTCCCTCCCTCTAGCAGACTTTATGGCACTAGGTTTGTGTGTGATGCTCTCAAGAAGAGTGGTGCCCCCTCTGTTCTAAGGGGTATCCCACTAGGATTGCTGATTCTAGCTACTTGTCTCCTAAGATTATTTTTTTCCCCAGAAAATACAAGGGAATGGTTGGCTGCTTTCTGAATCTAAGACTGCTTCACCTGGGTATGGGTCTGCTGACATCTGCCTTGTCTGGGTTTCCTACCCTCCTTGGGGTTTATTTACTCTGATGTCCCTCCAGGGACTCCTAGATGTGAAGCCATCTGCAGGTGCCAAGACCAACGGGGGAAGAAGACTAGGTAGTACTTTCAGGTGGATGCTGCCTCATGGCTTAGCTAAAGGGCTAGCTACCCTCAAAGCCCAGCCACAGCAGAGAAGGGGGTCAGCCCTCCTGGGCACAGGAGGTGTCTGTCACATCCCATCCTACAGCCTTGAAAGGTAGCCTTAGGGTTTCCATGGACTGAATCAAAGAAAGGAATCAGGAGTTCTACAAGCCCAGAAAGAGAGCGTATGGGCTGAATTTCATCACGGGGTGGAGTGTTCTAGGTTAAATAATGGACCCATTTGGGGAGGTATGTGCAAATGATAAGATCGACACCTCCTGCCTTTGTTTCTGTTCACTCAGAGATAGCTCTGCCTGTGGTGGGTTAGGGCTTGTTTTGTTTTGTTGTTGTTGGTTTTTGGAGAAAGGGTTTCTCTGTGTAACACCTCTGGCTGTCCTGGAACTCACTTTGTAGACCAGGCTGACCTCGAACTCACAGAGATCTACCTGCCTCTTCCTCCCGAGTGCTGGGGTTAAAGGCGTGCGCCACCACACCTGGCTAACCTGTGGTAGGTTTAATTATCATCTATCCAGGCAAGTGGGAACCATGTACTCAAAAAGTAGCTAGTCATGTGGGACACGGGAAAGGGACCCCTTCCTGCCCCTTGCTTCTGCTCCTAGTAACAGCAGTGTGGTTCTTCCTCATCCCCTCCCCCAGCCCTCTTGAGGGATGAGACCAGATACCACAGTGTTCGAGACCACACTTGATCTGGTGAGCACAGCCTGGGAGATCAGGCTGCCCTGTACCCGACCAAGATGTAACACGTGACCGTGGTGGACAAATGGCTTTACAACCTGCCATTCTTCCTCTTTCCCCACCCCCACAGGTGGGCAGGCTCTGCAGTTTTGAGGAGCCTTAGAGACCGGGCTTGCAGAGTGGCCTCCACAGCGCCAGCACAGAGGAAATCAGGAAGCATCTCATGTGAAGGTTGGGGCTGAGGTCACGGCCTGCTGTGACTGGTCTGCAGCTGCCTCCAGGGTTTCCTGGGCACCCGGAGATCATGCTCTCTGATGTGTCACTGCGGTCAGTCATGGCACAGGCCTGGGCCTGTGAGAGCACCACTTCAGTTCCTGTTGGACAATGAGTGCCTGTCCAAGAAGCGGCAGGCTTAGGTGGCAGCCAGGGATGAGCACACAGCAGCCTTGCTCTGAGGGCTCTCCGATGCAGCTCAGAGAGGTCCATGTCTGCATCACTAGGGAGGCCAGCCTTGCTGCAGCACTACTGACCCGGAATCTGACACTGCCTGTAAAGACCCCGCCCCCCAGCCACGGGAACCTCCCAGATGGAAGTCTGAAGGTGACTTTGCTTCTTACGGGGTATTTATTCATTGGTCCAGCGACCAGTCCCTCTCAAGTTACAGCCTGTGGGTGGGAGGCTTTGACTTGCCTGCCCATGTCCCACTTAAGTGAGACCTGCCACTGGGTGCCACCTGAGAACTAAGCGGGACAGTAAGGCACGCAACAGTCTACCCATGTCTGCTGCGGTAAGCCCAGTTGCCAGGTGACTCCCTAGCTCTTTGTTTTGAGACAAGGTCTAATTTGTAGTCCTTACTCACCTCCTGGAGCTTGCCACATAGCACAGGCTCTTGAGTGCTGGGTACTCCCTGTGTGAGCCACCATGCCCAGCTCTCCTCAGTTAGGAGAACCCCTCGGTGGGCTGGAGGGCAGCAGGGAGCCCCTCCTGGACCAGTTACAATAGCTGGCCTGCCTCCCAAGAGCCAGGATCCAGCCTCAGAATGGTAAGACACAGGAGCCAAAGGCGATGCTAACGTCTCCACCATTCTGTAGGCCACCCAGAGGCCAGGGAAAAGGTGACCAAGGGCCCGTGGTGGTACAGCTACCAGAGAAAAAGCCCCTTGAGGTGAGGAAGAGCTGCGGACAGGAAACCCCGCACCAACGCTGCTGTGGATGCTTGGAAACAATTTATTGAAACTCTTTTGAAAAGACAGCAATTTATGCCATGAACAGAACAAGATGCCGACAAGTATTTTCTAACCTGACCTCCCACCAAGCAGGCTTCTCTGGCCTCTGAGGGCTCTACCACTGTTAAGGGCAGTCCCTGCCTGAGGAGGGATGTGGTTGGCTCTGGAAGGTGACAGGGAGCCATGGACAGTTCCTGGGGCAGGGGAAGGGCCCCCTTCTGCCTGGACTGTCCTACATCTGCTGGGAGCAGCCACAGCAAGTGGCCAGGAGTGCGAAGATTTCTTCAGGGTCACCATCAAAAAGAAAACAGCAAACAAGAACCTCCTCCTCCTCCTCCTCAAAAAGCGAGTGGCTTGGGGACACCACCTGTCTCACACACAGAGGAAGCGCTGGCTATGCCCACTTCTCCTTCACTGTGTACTGATCGATCCCACACAAGTGTTTATTTTTGACTATTTTTTTTTAAAAAATATAACTTTGTAAATGCTCCATAAAAATACTGTTCTTCCTAGTCAAACACAGGTATTGCGGTATGAAGAGGAACTGCTTTGTCTTTGCTCTATAAAACGTGAAAAGATTATCACACAGGATAAGATAGAAAAACGCAGGGTTCCTAAATATCACAAAAGCCAGTACCAAATGCTTACGGTGGAAGCAAAGCTGGGGACCGGGTGGGCTGGCAGCCTGGCTGGGTGCCTCCTCCCCTGGTCCTGCTGGGGCACAGCTTAGGGCACCTCATCCTTCTCCACACGAGGATATCATGGCTGGGCAAGGCAGCCAACTGCTCTACCCCAATGGCCAGCACCTGCCTCTTGAAGCACCGAGGACCCAGTGCTGCTGGCCAGGACCCAGTGGTCCTGCTTGATGGCAGGGGGCCAGCTAGCCGGCATCCCAGCCCTGGGGGCTCTGAGACCAGCTCTCCTTGTGTGAAATTCCACTTAGCCCGGTAAGGCGCGTTCCCACGCAGGTGCCAGGGCAGGAGGGCCATCACCCCGTCCCTTGAGGCGGGACTGTGTCTGCGGCCCCAGACTTGAGGCGGGTGGCCAGGCTGTGCCTCAGTTCTCAGAGAGGGACAGAGCCAGGGCAGCCTGGAAGGCGGCTTCTTCGTCGATGCTGTAGTCCTAGAAACAAGCAGAGATGGGTTTTGGGAGGTTCCCAACAGCCAGCCCACTTCCCATGTTAGTCTACCCAAACACCTTCTGTGATCCCAAGCCTCCCTTTAAAAAATGTCTCAGGATGCGAGAGCCCCATCTACCTCTCCCAGTTCTTCCCCAGCGGGTTCCCAAAGTTATCCTAGGATCGTGCTACAGGCTGGCAGTCTGCAGATTTGTGACCATGAGGGGTGGTTTCACGGCCGAGTTGCTTTTTCTCTTCAGATAGTAAGAATCAGTTTCTTTGTCCAGCTTAGGTTCTCTGTGTGTATGTGAAGGCTTGTGTGTGACATGTGTGGATATAGAGGTCAGGGGGCTTCTTGTGTGTATGTGAAGGCATGTGTGTGACATGTGTGGATATGGAGGTCAGGGGGCTTCTTGTGTGTATGTGAAGGCATGTGTGTGACATGTGTGGATATGGAGGTCAGGGGACTTCTTGTGTGTATGTGAAGGTATGTGTGTGACATGTGTGGATATGGAGGTCAGGGGACTTCTTGTGTGTATGTGAAGGCATGTGTGTGACATGTGTGGATATGGAGGTCAGGGGAC